TTACTGCCCTGCAGAGCCACTGTTGGGGTTGGGAGTGGGTCCTAGTTCTCAGTTTTACCGAGGCAGAAAACGGACTGTCAAATATTGACAGTTTGCTCAATTCAGGAGGGTTAAAGAAAGACTTAAGTCTTATTTGTAGGATCTGAGTTTAACTCCTGTGACTCTCTTTTTAGCAAGAGCAAACTACTCAACCACTTTAAACCCAGGTAGGGATTGGAATTCCTCCCCCGAGGGATTGCCGAAAGGATGAAACAAGCAAATGTATTATGAAAACGTAAGAGCATGCAATAAACTCTCAGCAAGTGGTAACCATATAAAACACTAAGTATATTTCTGTGCAGAATACAGTCCCTATACCCGAATAGGCACAAGTGTTAGGAACAGTCTATCCTTGACCTGACTTCAGAATGTCAAGAACCTTTTGAAATCTGATGCAGAATGCCGACCTCACATGTGTTGATGAATTCTTCTGCGAAAACAATTCAGTTGGCTTCACGGTCTAAAATGCGTTCATGACCCAAAATAGGAATGGGGTCGGTAGGGCAGTGTATAGCACACCCCTGACTATTAATAACTAATAACTGTTAATAACTCCATCTTAGGAAAAGACTGTTATATTTCATAAGGCATTTGCCAACAAGGATACTATATTTTGTTTAATAAATAAAAAAAAATAGATCGCATCCAACTAGGTAAGAACACAAGCAAGCACACTCTACTTTAGTTCTCACCACAGGGCTCTGACTACAAAAGACGAGGCCTGGTCAGGTGCGGTGGCTCACGCCTGTAATACCAGCACTTTGGGAGGCCAAGGAGGGCGGATCACCTGCGGTTGGAAGTTCGAGATCAGCCTGACCAACAAGGTGAAACCCCCTCTCTACTAAAAATACAAAATCAGCCAGGCCAGGTGGCACGCACCTGTAATCCCAGCTGCTCAGGAGGCTGAGGCAGGAGAATCACGTGAACCTGGGAGGCGGAGGTTGCAGTGAGCCAAGATCACGCCACTGCACTCCAGCCTGGGCAACAAGGAGACTCCATCTCAAAAAAAAAAAAAAAAAAAGAAAAAGAAAAACACAAAAAGAGGCCTTCGGCAGCTCCAAACAGCCATTTAAACTGCAGAAGGACCTCTCGGCCCAAAGCAGGCCTCTTTCTCTCTTGTTCACTCTGGCCTGGTTCGTTCATCTCTTTGTCCTGTCTTTTTCCTCGGGTTAAATGCCACTTTGTGTGTTGCGGGATGCTTAACTCGTAACATGTATATGTTGAGTTTGTAGCGTTTGCAGCACTACCTGCTGGTGGGGTGGCTCGAGCCTGCATGCCCAGGCGACTGCCCAGGAAGTGCTGGGAGCTGCGTCCTGGGCACCCCACGCAGCCAGTGGCCTCTGATGGAAAGAGCGTCAACAGAAGCCTGACACGGTGGGAACACGCACCATGCGTGGACCTGGTTATTTCTAGCCTGGCACCCTGGTGACGGGAGGTTAAGGATTTAGGAAGAGGGACCCGCCGGGTAACCGAAAGAAAGGCCTCAGGTCATTGGAGGAGAGACAGAAATGACCGGCGGGTCTCTCGGCGTGCCCCTCTTCTTCGCGGAGCTCACACTGGGCAGCAGGCCTGGCCTTGTCTCCCTTCTAGGTACCCCTTGGGCCCGGCGTAGTTTCCAGGTTTCCCTCAATTTACCTCCAGAATCCCGCGCTGGGAGCGGAAGCCCGCAGGCTCTCAGGAAGACCAGGATTTCAAATCCGGAGCGGGGGCGCCGGGCCCGGCCTCGGGGGCGGGGCCTGGGCGGGGCCTCGGGACGTGACAAGAGCGTGGGGCGGGGACGGGGCGCGGGGGCGGGGCGTGCCGCCGGCGGCTAGCGGGCAGGAGAGGTGGGCGGCACGCAGGGCCCAGCCGGGGGCGGGGTTCTCGGGCGGGCGGGAGCTCGGGGACGCGCGGGGCCTAGAGGGGCGGGTCGGGGGCGGGCCGGGGGCGGGCCGGGGGCGGGGCTGTCCCTGGAGCGCACACCTCGCGGCCGCGGGCTGCGGAAGCCGAGCAGACGCGGGGCCTGGCGGGTGGCTGTTTCCGAGGCGGCCGTGGAAGGTTTGGGGACGCTGTGGGGTGAGTGCCGCCCTCGCCCCGGGCCGTCGGTCCTGCGCCTGCTCCCTGCGTCCTCCCAGGCCCAGCGGCCGCCCGGGGACCCGCCCGGCTCGGCAGCTGTGCGGGAGACTGAGGAGACGGGCACGGAGACGGGCACGGTCTGGGTGGCGGAGCCTTTGGCCACCTCACCCGGGGCGGAGGCGAGTACTGAAGCCCGCGGTGCGGGAGACCTGGCCCGGAGCGGGGGGCTGGGCCGGGCCGGGGGAAGCCAGGCAGCCGGAGGCCGGGCGGCGGAACCGAGCCGGGGATGCCAGGCAGCGGGAGGAGCCGAGCCGGGGATGCCAGGCAGCGGGAGGCCGGGCCCGGGACACCGAGCTCTGAGGGCGGGAGGCCTAGCGATTGGGCCGGGAGCCGGAGGCCGGGCCAGGCGGCAGGAGGAGCGGTACCCGGGAAGCGGCGCTGCTAGGGCTGGGGCGGCCGGGTGCGGACTGAGCTGCTGGCCCTCGGGGCTGATCCTCCCAGTCTGGGACAAGGGTTCGGTCTCTGCTGCCTTCCACGCCAGGGGCCTGGACTGCCCCGGCTTGGCTGTGGTTTAGCTCTTCCATGGAGGTAGTTGCAGGGCTGAAACTCCGATTCCTTTCCGGCCCTGCGGAGTTCCGTGAGTGCTCGCAGCTCGTACCTGTCGCTGTGTATTCTTGGCCACAGTCAGGTGGTGCCGCCTTGAAACCCCAGGCCGCGAGGAGTTAGCGAGCCCTGCTCACCCTCGATGCTCTGGGTTTCAGTGGGGGTGCTCTGCACCTGCCTCTTCCATTCTCAGTAAGTGGCACCCAAGCAGGAAGGTAGAAAACATCCTTCTCAGCCCCCTCTCGCCCACCTGCTTCTTTCCCACTTAGTCACCAAGCCTTGTCGACCTCGTGAATGCCAGCCAGAGAGCTGTCCACATCTCTCTGTTTCTGATTTCAGCGGCCTGACCACGCAGCCTCTTCCCAGGTCTCCCCACTTCCAGACCCGCCTGCTCCTTTGCAGTCTATTTATTTCAGCACGGGCAGAGGGATCTTTATGAATGAAAGTCTAGAAGCTCGTGCTTTGCCCTTAGGTTAAACCCAGCACTTAACATGGCTAACAAACCCCAGCACGTGTTGGGTCCGAGCACCCTCCCCCGCCTTATCTTTAGCACCGATTCACTTTCTGCACAGCAGTGCTGATCTTCATACCTAGCTCCGCCTGCGACACCTCGGCATTCCCTTTCTCCCTCCATCACGTTTGCTTAGAAGTAAGAGCTCCTACTTAAGATTTCTGTTTTCATTAGACAGTTCAAGGTTAAATCTTTCTATAATGTGTTCTTTCTGCAGCCAGCTTTTCCTAAGAGAGATGTGTCATATCCTTTGCAGTTGCTTGTTTACTGTCTTCCCTGCTGCATTTGTAAGCAAACTCCATGAGGGACAGACTTGGTTTATTTGGGTGTTCCTTAGTGTCTTTCCCCAAATGTGGGGCATGGCACAGCACAGTGAGTGCCCATCCATTTGTGTTTTTACTATTATGCCCTATCTAGATAAAGTAGACCTGGTTTAGGATTATGTAGCAAATCATAATTAGAAAAGAAATGGTAGAGGTGACATATGGAGTCATTGTAACAGTGTAACCCTGCAAGATAGCAGAAGGAGGGCCAGGCGAGGTGGTTAGACCACACTCTATCAAAATGGGCTCAGCCACTGTGAATGTGCATGCTGTGGTTACGTGATCTCTACAAATGAAACGTAAAGCTTAAATCATCTCTATCACAGCCCGATGCTTGAACTCTGGTTTTGCTTTGCCTTTTTGCAAAAGAAGGTTTTTGAAAATGAAAATGTTTTTTAATGAATGGACGAAAAGTTTATTGGCATATGGCAATAAAACCTGTTCAAAGTAACAGACATTAGACATTGTACCTAGTTAAATCAGATTTGCTTTTGTTATCTGTAATTTTTGTAAAAAGGCATCGGAGATCCTCCATTTTACACTTAGATCATACAGATTATTCAGATCTGTGAAGGCTTTCCCATTTTCTCCTTTTGGCCATCCAAAAGGACTTTATTTGGCAAAGGGAAGACAGATCTTTTGCACATAGTAAGTGCCATTCTGTCTGGTGTCATAGGCTTTGAATAGTGGGGAGTGCTCTATACTGTCTTCCTGGTCACTTGGCCCATGCCAGAAAAAAGGAAAGGATGGTTTATTTGTTTGTATAGTACAATGGAACTTAATTTAGATTTATTCTGTATTTGATTTTACATTCCTGTTCTCATATTTTTACCTTAACTACACAATAAATATTAAAAGATTGGCTTCACCAGGCGCAATGACAATAGCCAGTTTGATAATTCTTATATGTACCCAAATGAATTCAGAGGCCAGATGGGAAAAGATTTTGATAAAACCTCTGGTACATTACAACTGAAGTCTTTTCTTGCCCAAACTATCGTGAAACAGATGTTCTTTCTGTTTCATTTGCTAAATCTGGGAATGTGACTGCTTTGGAGACTTTGTCCTCTCTGACAGGTGATAAGCTGGATGTTTTTCAAGTTGTTTGACAGAAGTGTAGTTTCCCCAGAAGTCCTACTGGACAGGCTTCACTTTTGTTTTGGAGGAAAACAGAGTTACAGGAAATATATCTTAATGACTTATACTGAAAGCTGAACATAAAAACAGTCATTTAACTCATTATTTTTAGAGGCTCAAGTGCGGTGGTGCGATCATAGCTCACTGCAGCCTCCAACTCCTATGCTCAAGTGATCCTCTTGCCTCAGCCTTCTGAGTAGCTCGGACTACAGGTGTGTGCCACAATGCCAATCTACTTGTTTTTACTTTTCTGTAGAGATGGGGTCTCTCTGTGTTGCCCAGACTGGTCTCAAACACATGACCTCAAGCAGTCCTCCCACCTTGGCCTCCCAAAGTGCTGGGATTACAGGTGCGAGCCACCGTGTCCGGCCTATTTCACTTTAGAAGTAAATTGAATGCCACATGCAAGGTTTGTTAAATTTAGAAAGAAGAAAGAAAGGAAAAATAGAAGTAAACTACCTAGTGGTATCAGAAATGCCATAATCATTTTTGCCATTTTTTTCATTCATTAGAATTCAGTGCATTATGTTATTTTGGTATCTCTGCAGTAACTAAGTTTTTTGTCTTATTTAAAGCTTCTGAGATTTTGGGGTTTTGTTTCCTTCGCTGAAATTAAGCATTATCACTCCTACATAGTACTAAACTGTCTATGGAATAGTCAGAGTCTCCCCTCTTGAGTTGGGAAGACCCTAGTTTGAATCCCGGCTGTGCCACTTTAAAGTTCATTAACTTCTCTTAGCCTTGGTCACCTGAACTCTGCAGTGGGGATCCTTATGCCTCAGAGTGTCATTGGGAAGACTCACGAAAAATAGCTTGTACTTTGAGTTTAGTACCTAGTCTGTATGAGCCAGCAGTAAGAGGGACAGTCATCACACAGCGCTTTACACACACCTCTCCCGTCAACGTGCAGCACTGTTCTTCCTTTGGCTACTGTTTTGGTAAGTCTTTACTAGTAAATGTTTCTTAAAAGCATTTATATTCATGGACCTGATTCAGAAATTAACTGAGTTGGGTTTTAGGTCTCACTTTAAGAATTAAAAACCCTTAGGGCAGAGAGCAGATTTTATTTCTTACCTCAGAGTTTCCTTGTAGGATAGGAACCAGCAACACCCTAATAACCAGTAACAATTAGCTGATTAAGAATCTCTAAAACTGGCAATCCTAGTTTAATATCTCCTTTTGAATTCCTACCAACGCACACTTCCACATACTCACTCTTTAATAACAGGTTATTTCAAATTGTTGATGCTTTGTAGCGTAATATAGAAATTTCACTTTAGAAATTAATTTTTATTTCTCTGCCTTAATGCTATAGATGGTGTATTCTGCTTTGCTTCATTATTATAATGAGTAGTTGGCTAGCCACCATGTAAATAGGGAGAACATTCCAGTTTTTTGCTTGTGTAGGAAAACACAGCTTGAAATGTCTAAATATCTGTTTTAGAGTGAAATAAATTTCTACTGACAACACTTTTTAGTGTCTGAAAGCCTGACTGTTAATAGCATTGGTGGCAAGTGTTAAGGGATCCAGGAATTAGCAAAGTGATTCTGAGACCTGAGTTCCAGGTTTCCATGTAATGTCAGTTGGTCTGCTGAGAACTTTGCCATAAACATGTGTGCTCAGAAATTTCCTTGCTTATCAACAGCATCCTGAATTGATGAAAATAATTAAGAATTAATCAACTCAGTAAGAAACAGTTTGTGTTAATTCCATTGCTATGCCAGGATAAATTTTTTAAACCCCTATTCCTATTTATGTTTTGTCAAATAAAAAGGTTATAAGAACCTAAATTCCCTTAGGATAAGATATTTTATCCTTAGATGAGCTCACCATCCTCAGAATAATTTGTACTCAGCTGGGCATTAGCTAATAGAGGTGAGGTCATGCTAAGCAGCACTTCAGTGAGTTTTGCGGGAACCAAAGCTCTGCTCCTGGGAGTGTGAATTTGGTGCTTTCGTGTGGAAGTAACAGAGGATGATAAAGAGCAAATGTGCACGTGTCTGATGCTGTAAGGATTTCATTTATCATCATATAAATTTTTAGAAGTATATCAAAATAAACTGATAACTGAGACAATATTGTTCAGATAATAATGAAGTTAATGAAGTACACCATAGTATTTGTTCCTGAGAATTTTTTTCAGATAGACAGTATTTTAAATCCTGTTGTAGAAGAATTTTTTTCTTTCAGCCAATGATTCTCTTACTAAAACAAAATTATTTGTTGTGTCTAATATCAGAAATGATTTATGGTTATTTATATTGATTGGTCTCTCTGAATTTTTTGACTTAATTGACTTGATGTATAGAAAGAAAATGACTTTTAAGTAAAGTCACCTAATATTTACAGGAGATCTTATATTGGTCTGAGCCAAGGAGTAAATATTATAGGACTTTGAAAAGCTGGTCACTATCTAAAATTTCCACTACCAGTCACAAGGAGAGAATAATTTTATTCCACAGTTTCATTGCTGGCAAAAGACACAAGTTTATTAAAAATCAGTATTTCAGTATAAGAGTTACTAGACTGTTTGCAGAAGTATTCAAAAGAGATCTTTAGGGCCTTGGTTGTCTGTGGAAGCTGATCAGCATTTAGGGGTTCCTGAGCACAGACTGTGAACCCTGTATTTGGCAAGTGCATTCAGAGAGCCAATCTGAGGCAGACGGGGGGTTAGAAAGGGTACTGCCAGCAGCTCCAGGTTCAGCTTCAGAAGTTATTAACTCTTATTTCCCAGTTTTTTAATTAGACTTCATTTTTAGAGCAGTTTTAAGTTCAAAGCAAAATTGAGAAGAAGATACAGAGATATCCCATATCCTACCTGCCCCCACACATGCATAGCCTCCCTGTTATCAACATCCTGTACCAGAGGGGTAGATTCTTACAGAGGAACCTACAGTGACACATCATCCTTACCCAAACTCCACTGTTCACAATAAAGTTCACTGTTGATGCTGTTTATCCTATGGGTTTGGACAAATTTACATTGACTTAGCATCCACCATTATAGTGTCACACAGAGTAGTTTCACTGCCTTAAAAATTCTCTGTGCTGGCCAGGCACAGTGGCTCACACCTGTAATCCCAGCACTTTGCGGGGCTGTGGCAGGCAGATCACGAGGTCAGGAGTTTGAGACCTGGCCTGGCCAACATGGTGAAACCCTATCTCTATTAAAAACACAAAAATTAGCTGGGCCTGGTGGCCGGCACCTGTAATCCCAGCTACTCAGGAGGCTGAGGCAGGAGAATCACTTGAAATCAGAAAGCAGAGGTTGCAGTGAGCTGAGATTGCACCACTGCACTCTAGCCTGGGCAACAAGAGCAAAACTCCATCTCAAAAAAAAAAAATTATCTCTGCTGTCTCCCTCCCTCCTAGCCACTGGCAAAAAGTGATCTTTGTACTGTCTCCATAGTTTTGCCTTTTTCAGGTTGTCAGATAGTTGGAATCATACACTATATATAGCCTTTTCAGACTGGCTTCTTTCATTTAGTAATAATGCATTTAAAGTGTCCTACATGTCTTTTCATGGCTTTGCTGGCTCATTTGTTTTTAGCGCTGAATAATATTCTGTTCTCTGGATATACCACAGTTTGTTTATTCATTCACCTACTGAAGGACATCTTAGTTGCTTCTAGTTTTGACAGTTATGAATAAAACTGTTATAAACATCTGTGTGCAGGCTTTTGTGTGAACATAAGTTTTCAGCTCCTTTGGGTAAATACCAAAGAGCGTATTTACCATATGGCTGGATCATATGGTAAGAATATGTTTAGTTTTGTAGGAAGCTGCCAAACTGTCTTCCAAGTTGGCTGTACCATTTTGGATTTCCACGAGCAGCGACTAAGAATCCCTGTTGTTTCACATCCTCACCAGTATTTGGTGTTGATAGGTGTTCTGCATTTTGACCATTCTGCTAGGTGTGTAGTGATATCTCATTGTTGTTTTAATTCGCGTTTCCCATCATTTGCAATCTGTACATCTTTGATGAGACCCACTGGAGTTTTACTTTAGACTTTGTCTTTTTTTGAGACGGAGTCTTGCTCTATCTCCCAGGCTGGAGTGCAGTGGTGCGATCTCGGCTCACTGCAACCTTTGCCTCCCAGCGTCAAGCAATTCTTCTGTCTCAGCCTCCCAAGTAGCTGGGATTACAGGTGCATACCACCACGCCCAGCTAATTTTTGTGTTTTTAGTAGAGACAGGGTTTCACCATGTTGGCCAGGCTGGTCTTGAACTTTTGACCTTGTGATCTGCCCACCTCGGCCTCCCAAAGTGCTGGGATGACAGGCCTGAGCCACCACACCCAGCCTCACTTTAGACTTTCTATAGATTGGCCATGAAGTCTTGAAACAATATCATGGATTATAATGCAGTATCAATAAACTATTATGTGTTCACCTATGTTTCCAGACTTGTTGGCTATCCTGTACTGTTCTCTCAGTTAATCAAGTTAACCACAATTTGTTTCTCAACCACAGGTGGCTAGTTATTTTGGCTGTGGTCTGTCCACTTTGAATTGATGTGCATGGGGCAAGTTGGTCTCTATAACATTTATGGTTCAAGGAAGTTTGAGATTTCCTTGTATCTAATACATGTTTATTGTACATATGAGAGAAAGAGAAAGGCAGATAGATGGGAACACAGTACTGAGCATTATATAGGCAAGGAAGGGTGGCAACTTTGATAGGAGAATACCCCTATTTTTGTCACTCTTGAAACAGGGCCAGGAGTTGAACATGGCTACAACAATCCTGACCTTTGTTGACATTATTTTATAAAATAATATTTGTTATTATTTTCTCACTTTAAAAAATACAGATGTTATAGAAAAATTAGAAGATATAGAAGAATGTTAAGTAGTAATAAGTTGTCAGTAATGCCATCACCCAGAGACAGACACTATTAATAAAAGTGTTAATATGTAAAGACATACTAATATGTAATATGCCCTGAGTGACTAATGGCAGGTCACTTAGTAGCTGTCTTGGTTGTCAGATCAACTTCGTGGTATGGCAGTGCTTATGTTCAATTAACCCTTATTAGTTATTGTTGTTAATCTCTTTCTGCACCCAATTTATAAACTAAACTTTAACATAGGTATGTATGTATAGGAAAAAACGTACTGTATGTAGGGTTCAGTACTGTATTCAGATTCAAGCATCCACTGGCGGACTTGGGAGGTACCCTCCCACCCCCATCCCACAGGTATACTACTGTATAATTATTCTTCTAAAGAAAGAGCTTCTGGAAGATAGGAACGTTGTCTTGTCTTCCACTCTATCGTATTTCTCAGGATGATATCTGGCACAAAGTGTTTGCTTACTGACAAACCAAAAGATGATTTATCCCAGTTGTACTCACATCTTCCCTTGGTTTTCCAGAAAGCCTACAGGAAGTAAGACGGTAGAAAAGCAAAGTCTTCATAGAAATGTGGAACATAGACTGGCCCTTGGGGAAGGTCCAACACCACCCTCTACTGTGGTTAAATTGAGATAATGATGCTGGCTCTCCTCTGTGTTAATTTCTTCAGCTTTCCCCACCACAGGTGCACACAAAACCCGGGGAAGGGGAGAAAGGAGCTTAGCTTTACCTTAACAGAAGGGAAGAAATTATGTTTTCCAAGTGACCTTGAAAATAGAGACCTTGGTACGGTTTAGGAAGATAAAAAAAGTTCTGTGATGGATCCCAACAATCTGACTGTACTCAATGCCACTGAACTGTACACTTAAAAATGGTAAATTTTATGTATATTTTACCACAGTTTTACAGATTAAAATTTTAAAAGTGGGGAAAGTTACCTAGGACTTTCTAGAAGGGCTTTTGTGGGTGAGCAAGTTCTGTTGTAGGATTGTGTATTATGTTGGTATTTATGATTATATCTGAGGAGTGAGGTAAAAGTTGTATTTTGACAGGAATATTTGACATTGCCAGGGTTTCTAGAGTCTGGAGAAGGTCAGTCAAGATTTTTTGTTTTTGTTTTTTGTTTTGCCTTTGTTCTTGTTTTTCTCTATTTAGGGAGGTGGATTGCCATGGAAAGTACCTTTGCTTCTGGAAAGCCAGAGAATACCTGGTAGAACTATAGAAAAGTAGTAAGGAGCTGACTTCTTTAAAGGCAGCATAGTAGAGTGGAAAGAGGGCCCTGTCACTTAGATTGTGACAATCGACAAAGTCACTTAACCACCAGGGTTGGGTTTCCTGACTTTTAGAATATTAAAAAGATTAAAAATGAATGCCTTGCAAAGTACCTGGTATATATTAAGTGCTCAATAAATGATAGTTGCTTTGATTATAAGAACTGGTTCACCTTGTGAGATATAATTGTGTGATGGAAGAATGAAAGCAGAAACTGTCGTTTTTACTTTTAGGTTTCCTGGGCCATTTTACTACCATAAATGAGAAGCTTTGCTTCCAAAATCCAGTTTAAGAATAAAAACTAAGCTGGACATGGTGACTCTTGCCTTAATCCCAGCACTTTAGGAGCCCTGGGTGGACAGATTGCTTGAACCCAGGAGTTCAAGACCAGCCTGGACAACACAGCAAGACCCTATGTCTACAAAAAATACAAAAATTAGCTGGACATGGTGGTGCACGCCTGTAATCCCAGCTACTCGGGAGGCTGAGGTGGGAGAATTTGAGTCCAGGAGGTCGAAGCTGATTGTGTTGCTGCCCTCCCGCCTGGGTGACAGAGTGAGACCCTGTCTCAAAAGGGGGGAAAAAAAAAAGAATAAAGATTAATGGAAATTTGGAACATCTTGATACTGTATCTTGGGAATCTAAGCATTGTAGAATTGTATCATGTGAGTTTTACCATTGTGGTGAGAAGTTGTTTATTTTTGGTTTAACTGTGTTGAGTTGCAATTCTTAGAAATGACCCGATGTGTTGTCTTACAAAAGAAATAAACTGTAATCTATATCTTGATCTGATGAGGATATATAAATATAAAAAATCTAGATGTACACTTTCTATCTATATGCTTTATGTAATTCACTATGTAATTCACTATATATAATTTATAGCTCAATTGGAAAGAGAGAGGCTAAATTGTATGTACCGTTGCAAAATAATCATTATCCCCAGAACTGACTCACAGAAACCTTTAACAATAGAGGTGAAAATAAGCTATTAATTTGGAAAAATAATCATGGAGATAATATAATGCAGTGGTTTTATGACTGATTTTTTTATTAACTTCTATTTTCTTTATATTCTAGTTAATAAAGGTATCCATGGAGAACACTGAAAACTCAGTGGATTCAAAATCCATTAAAAATTCGGAACCGTGAGTATTTCAGTGGAATTGTTTATAATCAGAGAAAGATGGGGGTTTGTAAAACAACAAACCTTGAGGAATGGGGCACTCAGAAAGAGAGTGGTCTCTCTTTCAGGCCAGAGAGACCAAGCCGACTTCCTGCCTCGGATAGTTGTGTGGCTTTGCATAAACTAACTTTTCTTTTCTCAACCTCATCTTTAAAGTGGAGCTAAAACTTTCACAGAACCAAAGGGAAGATGAAAGGAAAGACCTATTACTGTGGTCAGAAACCTAGTCCTGGAACCAAAAAGACACCACAGGAGAGGCAGAACTCCCAAGTCTGGGTGCTTTCCCCTCCCAAATCACTGCATAGGATTAGGATTAGAGGTTTTGGGTTTGGGAGGAGTTTCTTGACCTCTTGTTTATGAGTTTTTAAGACCACAATGCAATGCTAATTTTCAGTCCGGGGAGGAATTGCCTAGTTGTGGATGAATTTTACCCTTTTTTCCTTTGTCTTTTTGGAATATTCTGCTTAATGCTTCCAATAACTAGCAGATGGAAAAAGAGAAAACTCAAATTCTCTTTAATTCATGTTTCTTATTATTTGTTTGGGAACTCTTATGATACTTTAAATTCTGAAAGTTTATTTCTGAAACCCAGTATTATTATTCTCAGCTGCCCTTGAAATTACAAACTAATTTTATTACTAAACAACATTATTACAGAAATACTATTAACAAGTTACCAGTAAAGAGTCACAATTTTTGTTTAGCAAAGGAATTTTTCTAGAAAGTAAACTTTTGAAATGCAATCCCATTTTAGAGAGTTGTTTTTATTTAAATCATTTTAACCAGTGTAGGGGCTTGCTCCTATAATCCCAGCTACTTGGGAGCTGTGGCAGGAGGATCACTTGAGGTAGAGAGTTTTAAACCAACCAGAGCAACATAATGAGACCCTGTCTCTACAAAAAATAAAAACAATTAGTCCACCATGGTGCATGTGCTTGTCCTGAGTCGTAGCTATGCACCAGAGGACATAGTGAACTATAATTGCACCACTGCACTCTAGCCTGGGCAACAGAGTAAGACCCTGTGTCTTTTTTGAAAAAGTCCTTTAAAAGTGATTTACATATTTTCCTACTACTTTTTTTTCTTTATTTTTTGAGACAGGGTCTTGCTCTGTCACCCAGGCTAGAGTGCAGTGACATGATCATGGCTCACTGCACTCCTGAGCCCCAGTAATCCTCCTGAGTAGCTAGGACTACAGGCATATGCCACCATGCCTGGTTACTTTGTTTTTTATTTTTGTAGAGATGGGGGTTTTGTTGTGTTGCCCAGGCTGGTCTCCAATTCCTGGTCTCAAGGGATCCTCCTGCCTCAGCCTCCCAAAGTGCTGGGATTACAGGCACGAACCACCCTGCGTGACACTACCTTTTCACGTCATACAGAACATCACTTCAGTAACAGGTTGCATGAGAGCCCCAGACTGGTTAGGGTTGTTTTGATCCTGTGATAAGTTGCCCTCGGGCAGTCTCGGCTTTTTGAGCCAGTGCCTTTATCAGGAGCATATCCTCTTGGACTAGCTGTCTTGTGCTTGTAAACTGCCTACCTCCTTAGGAGACAGCCAGAGCGAGTAGGGAGTGGGCGTCAGGATCTGGGAATCATAGTTCCATGATCCATTATCTGTGTGACTTAAAGGTCAAGTCACACTTTCAGGATTTAAATTTCATCTGTAAATGTGAGGCTCTTCACCTCTAGTTAAAAATAATAACTCTTTTCTAACCTCGACTCTTTTAATTTACCACATTTAATCTTTTTCCAACAGTATTTTTAGAATTGTGTGTAATGTGAGATACTCTAAGGTTAAGTGCATGGGTATATGGGCTGTAAGGATTCGTATTTGGCTGTTCCTAGACCTGTTTTTTTCCTGTCTGTTGGTCTAGATCAGGGATCAAGCTTGAGGCCTGTTTTTATCCAGTTTTACTGGAATATAGGCATACCCATTCCCTTACATATTGTCCTAGGTCAGTTTCGCCAGCAGAATTACATAGCTATGGCCAAGTACAGTGGCTCACAACTGTAATCTCAGCACTTTGGGAGGCCAAGGCAGGAGGATCACTTGAGGCCAAGAGTTCAAGACCAGCCTGGGCAACATAGCGAGATCCTGTTTCTACAAAAAAAAAAAAAATACAGAAATTAGCTGGGCATGGTGGGGACTGCCTGTGTGTAGTCCTAGCTACTTGAAACGCTGAGGAAGGGAAGAGTTCAAGGCTGCAGTGAGCTCTGATGGCGCCACTGCACTCCAGTTAGGGTGACAGAGCTAGACCATGTCTCAGAAAGAAAAGAAAATAGAATTTAGTAGCTATAACAGAGACCAGATGGCCCACAATACTTAATATAAAGCCTAAAATACTTAATATTTAGCCCATTAAAAAAAAGTTTACTGGCTGGGCACAGTGCCTCACATCTGTAATCCTAGCACTTTGGGAATCTGAGCTGGGCAGATCACGAGGTCAGGAGTTCGTGACCAGGCTGGCCAACATGGTGAAACTCCGTCTCTACTAAAAAATACAAAAATTAGCCGGGCATGGTGTCTTGGACCTGTAATCCCAGCTACTCGGGAGGCCGAGGTAGATTTGCTTGAACCCGGCATGGGAGGCAGAGTTTGCAGGGAACGCAGATCGCCCTACTGCAGTCCAGCCTGGGCTATAAACCTGGCCGGGGAGGCGGAGGTTGCAGTGAGCCTAGATCGCACCACTACATTCCAGCCTGGGCTTCAGAGCAAGACTCCATCTAAAATAAAATAAAAAAAAAGTTTACTGACCCCCTTATCTACATAGCAGAGGTTTTTTTTTAGATAAGTGACTTACAGATATTTTCAATTATTTACAATAATGTTTTTATATATTAATAAATTACTAATTAGTTTAGCTCATGGGATTTAAGGAACAATTTATTAATTGTGATAAATATGGTACTTTGAGTTATATTTACATTTTGTTGATTTCCCATCATTTCAGGGTAACTTTTAAGATTTTACTCTTACCTCCAAGAATAAAATATTTTGCAAAGTTAATAAGTAATTTTTAAATTATAAAGGTATTTGATGAAATTTTGAAGAATTTAGAGGAAAATGTAAAACATGGAGGTTAAAAGCTTGAACTCTGAAGTCCAGCAGATACTTCTCTTCCTTCTTGGCTGTGACACAATATTTGCATAACCTTCAGCACATGACTTAGCCTCATGTCAGGTCATTTGCTCATGTGTAACATGTGTTGATGTGAAATTGTGATGAAGAAAGTCTGATTTATAACATTCAACAAGTGTTAACTGTTACTGTGAGTTAGAAAAATTGCACTAATGTAAACAGAAAGCATGGTCATTTCTACCTTTGTAAAGCTATTATTTGATTTTTAAACAGAAAGATCATACATGGAAGCAAATCAGTGGACTCTGGAATATCCCTGGACAACAGTTATAAAATGGATTATCCTGAAATGGGTTTATGTATAATAATTAATAATAAGAACTTTCATAAAAGCACTGGTATGTATCTCACATAATTTTTAATCCTTTTTAAATATTTGTGCCATTTACATTTGCTATAATATTAAAAGCAGTATTGAGGTATTATTAGTCATTAAACTGTGACACAGACTAGCTGTGAAGTAGAGATAGAGCAGGACCTTCAGGTCCTGTGATACCCTGTGAACTCTTCACTCTTCTGCTGGACTTCACAGTCTCCTCTCCCATCAGCTGGCTTCCTGTCTGCATGCTTGGCTTCTTCTGTCCTGACTTCTCCACAGTCTTTGCTACTTTTTCATCTTTCTGCTCCCTCTTTGATCCCAATGGAAGGTTTTCAAAAAACAGTTGAGTAGTAGGATTTATTGTTTCCCCAGAAATTACAAGACCTATCACAAGCATTGCCTTATTTAATTTTATGACAACCGGAAAGAAACGATTCAATTCTGGAAGGTTTTTAAACCTTGCTCAGTCAGAACAGGTAGTCTGATGGCAGAGCTCAGTCTTTGTGGCTCCAAAGCCCAAGCGTGGAATCCATTTTCTATTCTGCTTCACTTCCTTGTATCTTCATGTGCTCTGTTTCTTGTCTTCTCTTACCCTACGAAGCTGACAGAGATTGCCCATCTTAGAAAGATCTTTCTTTTATCCAGTTCCTTTTAATTCCTTTGATATTTATCTCCTTCCCTTCTTCCTTAAATTTTGAAAACATGTAGTTTAAGCTCATACTCTTCACTTGTCTCCTCCTTCTTGAGTCTTTTTCTGTTTTCTGTCTCTACCACTGAAACTTCTCTCTTTAAATATACCATGGCCTGATCACCAGATAGATCCCCCTCTTGGTTTCTGTACTATGCGAAACTCAAATGTGGTACTACATTTGAGAATTCTTTTTAAGAAATATTGATAATAAAATCCTTTACAATGCCAAAAAAGCTCATTAGCATTTGGTGTATGGATATTTTTTCTTGACGGTTTTTTAAAGCTTGATTTTATTCATAACATGTAAGCAACGTTGTATTCTGCTTCTTTCACTAATAGCTTTTTAATATTGCTGCATACTTTTTGTTATAATGATTATGTAATACATCCCCAAAACACACCATTCACTTAATTTGCATAACTTACTATATGAATGAACATTATACCTGTTTCCCTTTTAAATTGATGCTGTAATAATTCTTTGAATTGGCATATTAATCATATTAGAGTTAATTTTTAGTTAGAGAAGCTATAGTAGATCTAATTTAGGACAGTACCTATCAGTGGTGGTGGAAATGAAGCCAGATTACACTGGGAATACAGCAGGGTTTGTGTCAGCTGAGTTACAAGGAGTGAGGAGATAACAGCTGAAAATGGAGCTCTAAATGGCACAACTTTTATTGCTTTTGGCTATAAGTTGAGATGCCACCTTCAACCATTAACTTAAAAAACACAACACCTTGTTTACTTTTGCTTTATGCGTATGTGAAAATTTACTTCTAGATAAATTCTGCCTCACATTTCTAGTTAGGATACCTTCTTCCTATAGAATTTTGCACTTGAATCTATTGTTGAAAAAACGAAAAACAAGCATATCATTCCACTACCACCATTACCTCTCCCACATATTTAGACCAGCAGTCTGGTTTTGCCCTCAGGGAGTTCCTTTCCTAGTTTGCAATGTAAAGATCAGGTTCTCATGAGATCTCTGGCAGGCTGGTTTGGGCCAGGCGCCGTGACTCATGCCTGTAATCTCAACACTTTGGGAGGCCAAGGCTGGAGGATCCTTAAGCTCAAAAGTTCAAGATCAGTCTGGGCAACATAGGGAAATCCCATCTCTACAAAAAATAGAAAAAAGTTAGCAGGGTGTGGTAGTGCGCAACTGTGATCCCAACTACTCGGGAGGCTGAGGTGGGAAGATAGCTTGAATCCGGGAGGTCGAGGCTGCAGTGAGCTGTGGTTGCACCACTGTACTCCGGCCCACAGAGCAGGATCCTGTCTAAAAAACAAAAAAAAATTTTTTAAAGGGCAGCCAACACACCAGCACCAGAAGCCAGTAACCTTGTCACACAGCTGAGATAATCAACAACATTTTGGAGATGTGTATAGACTTTTTGTATTTTTTCATACACATCAATTTACTCAATTCTGAGGTGTGTTTCCCACCAACATGTCAGCGTTTTGAAGCATGAGTGCATCATGCAGTCAATCTGTACATTAATGTGGAAGGTTCTTTAAAGGAGTGGTAGAAAGGCCAGGAGCCCTGCATATAGGCCCAGCATAGCTTTGTCACTTTGGGCTAGTTTGTTAACTTTACTACATGTCCCACATCTACACAAGTGAAACTTGTAATAAGACAACTCTTATGGTGACTGGAAGGATTAAAGATTACCCACAGCAGAATATCTGACGAACAGTAATAACGTTTGGGGGTTTTCCTTGAAGACACTGTAAATGTTATAATGCTATCTCCAAATTGTTGGGAAGTTAGAATCAGAGAAACGCAGTTCCTCTGAGTGTAATAGATGTATGTATGTATTATAGGATCATATTGTTTTCTAGTTTTATTTTTTTCCAACAATGATTTTCCCATGGCAAAAGTTTTCTCTTTAAAAATGACAACATAGTATATCCCATTATATAAGTGAGTATAACTTGTCTAACCAAACCCCTATTGTTAGGCATGTAAGCTGTTTCTGTTTTTTACTACCTAAACAGCTGTGAAAGATATTTTGGCTATAACACTAATAAGGTTATATTTTGAAGTATCTTATAAACTACAATATTGAAGAGATTTTATGTCACCATGATCAAAAATAGTTAGAATTCTCTTCCATTTAAAAGGAAGATTATTGTGGACTTTTGAATTGCTGAGTAGTTCATTTCATTTCAAAGTAGTTATTCTTAAAAAAAAATTAAAAATAAATAAATAAATAAAAAAGTAGTTATTCTTTGTTTTCAATACAATTAAAAGTAATTCTTTCTGTTCCAAGGAATGGCATCTCGGTCTGGTACAGATGTTGATGCAGCAAACCTCAGGGAAACATTCATGAACTTGAAATATGAAGTCAGGAATAAAAATGATCTTACACGTGAAGAAATTGTGGAATTGATGCGTAATGGTAAGAAACAATGAGAAGAGTGAACTTGTAAAATATGAGAATTGTGGAATTATACTATACATAATTCTAATCTTACCTATTTTAGTAAGAAGTTAAAAAAAAGTTATGTATGCCAACTTCCTAAAATAGTTTGAGATATGTTGCTGAGCCCCAGGTTAGGTTAAGATGAGCTCTTCGTTTTGTTCTCAGTTTCTTCATCATGTTCCCATACAATATATCTGCAGTTATTGAATGAAGTCACGGATTTTTTTCCTTTTATTTGCAAATGTCTTTTCAGTTTCTAAAGAAGATCACAGCAAAAGGAGCAGTTTTGTTTGCGTGCTTCTGAGCCATGGTGAAGAAGGAATAATTTTTGGAACAAATGGACCTGTTGACCTGAAAAAAATAACAAGCTTTTTCAGAGGGGATTGTTGTAGAAGTCTAACTGGAAAACCCAAGCTTTTCATTATTCAGGTAATGTATAACTGAGGGATTTGGTTATTGAAGATTAATCAGGGGCTGATTTTATCAATTGTAAGTTATGCAAAGGATTTGTGGTTTTTTCCTGAAGCTAAGAAACTACTGTTACTTTTCATTTACTTAAACTACCACTTAAAAGATAGGGAGTAAATTTTAATTTTATACTGACGACGTATCAAAAAGACTCAACATAATTAACATCCATTTTTACATAGCGTTTGAATTTCTGAGAAATAAGTTATATGTGCACATACAAATTTTTATAAATAAATATTTATTTTCTAATACCCAGGCCTGCCGTGGCACCGAACTGGACTGTGGCATTGAGACGGACAGCGGTGTTGATGATGACATGGCGTGTCATAAAATACCAGTGGAGGCCGACTTCTTGTATGCATACTCCACAGCACCTGGTGAGCACGTTACACATAATGGATGCTACATGTGGATTTTAAATGAATTTTACTGTGGCTATCATAGAATTATACAATGAAGAGTGTGTTTCAGAGACTGTCAAGATTTTGATATCCCTAAAGATACAAACTTGTCTATATTTCAGGGTAACTTCATCAAAGAGAAGTCTCAAGAAGTTGTCTTTAGCCAAAAGTTTGGCTAGAAAATATTCATTCAAAGCTGGGTGCAGTGGCTCATGCCTGTAATTCTAGCACTTTGGGAGGCCGAGGTGGGTAGATCACTTGAGGTCAGGAGTTCAAAACCAGCCTGACCAACAATGTGAAACCCCGTTTCTACTAAAAATACAAAAAAATTAGCAGAGTGTGGTGGCGCGTGCCTGTAATCCCAGCTACTTCGGAGGCTGAGGCAGGAGAAACACTTGAACCTGGGAGGTAGAGGTTGCAGTGAGCCAACATGGCGCCACTGCACTCCAGCCCGGGTAACAGAGCAAGACTCCGTCTCAAAAAAAGAAAAGAAAATATGCATACAGAAAGTAGACTAGTGAAATGTCATTCATTGGCCTTTTTACCAGGTAGAATATTAATTACATGGCAACAGAAGCCAAAATAGAGCTTCCCTGCATCTTAAAGAAGAGGAGAAGTATGTTTCTCAGGAATTATTTGAAAGGTAGTAAATAAAAAAGATAAACATGACTAGTATATGAGAGGAAAAATGTGGAGTGGGAGATAAGGTAAAAAATGATATATGAATATGCTGTTAATCTCCAGTTTTTTCAGTTCTGCTGTACATGTCATCATCTAAATAAATATTTATTGATTATGCCACCATTTACTTATACAACTAACTCAGGATGCCAGAGGGCTTCACACCTGAAGGAAATGGGAAATGGTTTTTTTTGTTTTGTTTTGTTTTTTGAAATGGAGTTTTGCTCTTCTTGCCCAGGCTGGGGTGCAATGCCACAATCTCATCTCACTGCAACCTCTGCCTCCTGGGTTCAACCGATTCTTCTGCCTCAGCCTCCTTACTAGCTGGGATTACAGGCATGTGCCACCACACCTGGCTAATTGTGTATTTTTAGTAGAGATGGGGTTTTTCCATGTTAGTGAGGCTGGTCTCGAACTTCTGACCTAAGGTGATCCTCCTGCCTCGGCCTTCCAAAGTGCTGAGATTATAGGCATGAGCCACCGGGCCTAGCCAACTAAATGTATTTGTATGTAGTGTTGCATTTTAAAATATGCGCAGTGTGGTTTCCTTTATCCTCTAGATAACTTCCTAAGCAAAGTACCTCTAAGTTAAAAGCAATGGGTCTAACAGTGAACCTAAAAAAAAAAAAAAAAAAAAGTATGATAAATACACTATTTTCTCTTTTTGGACCTTTTGAATATGTGTATTATACTTTATTCAGATGCTCTGTAGACAAATAGGACACTCAAAGCAATTTATTTCTTGGCCAAGTCAGTATTGAAATAAGGTGAAATGTGATTGGAATACTGTGTTATTTATAATGATCCTTTTTACACATCTTCACTTTTGCATCTTATCTGTTGCGTGTTTGCTGTTCTTGCCTATTGAAAGGGGAGTCCAGAAAGTAAAACTTTCAATAATTCAGTCCGCAGGTCCCTTTCTTTGCTGAAAGCAGGGGTGGGTGTATGCATAGCACACATTCTTCCTTCTTCAACATCATTTCTTCTGAAACCAAAGGTGTCTTTTTTCTTTGTGTAGTTAATAAGTTTGTGCTAGTTTTTGCCTTTATGACTACATAATGATTTATAGGATCAACTAAAAATCAACTACCCGTGGTATTTTGGTTGTATTTTGCCTTGTAGGTTATTATTCTTGGCGAAATTCAAGGGATGGCTCCTGGTTCATCCAGTCACTTTGTGCCATGCTGAAACAGTACGCCCACAAGCTTGAGTTCATGCACATCCTCACCCGGGTTAACCGAAAGGTGGCAACGGAATTTGAGTCCTCTTCTTTTGATGCTACCTTTCATGCAAAGAAACAGATTCCGTGTATTGTTTCCATGCTCACAAAAGAACTGTATTTTTATCAGTAAAGAAATGGTCGGCTGGTGGTTTGTTCTTACTTTGTATGACAAGTGAGAAGACCGTATACCTGCTACTGTATTTCTCTCTCATTTTAACCTGCTCTCATGCTGCAGAGGGTGCTTTGAGACGTATTCCTTCCATCAGGTAGATCCAATATGAAGCTACCTCAAACTTACAATCAGGTAGTTGCAATTGAATTTAATTAGAAATAAATAAAAATGGATACTGGTGCAGTCATTATGAAAGGCAATGATTGTTAATTTGCAGCTTTCATGATTAGCAAGTTATAGTGATGCTATGCTATGAATTTAAGTAATTGTGAAAAAGTAATTGAAGTAATGAATTTTTATGATATTCCTCCCACTTAAGACTGTGTAATCTAGTTTTGTGAAACTATAGAAATGATGTGGAAGAACTTAGTCATCTATGGGCATGCTCAAAAGCGCAAACCTTTTTTTTAGAATTGATAACGCAAACATGAGTCAACTGCGTTTTTAGACCATTTATCTGGGATGATGGTTTTGTGATTTTTGTCCTAAACACCTTTGTTGTAAATAATAATAATAATAATAATAATAATGTTTAATATTGAGAAAGACACTAAGTCTTTTATGTGAGAGAAAGTGGGAGCAAACTAAGTTGACTCTTAAGGCTAAAACATAACATTCGTAGAGAGGTGGAGTTTTGACTGTAAGGTGCTACAATGCAGCTGATCTACCAGCATAAATACCTTCTGATTTGTCCCTATGCAAATCAGTTGAGCTTCACATACCAGCAATATATCTGAAGAGCTATTATATAAGAACCGCAGACTGTTGATTACTAGCCAGATCATGTGAATAAATTTTATAGGAACATACGAAAATACAACTTAAATAATAAAAAGTGGAATGTAAGGAAAGCAATAAACGTATGGGATGAGCTGTCTGTAACTTGAGAGCAGATGGTCTGAGCCTGAGCAGAGACTTGGCACAGCCTGTTCCGTGAAGGTTTCAGGAAGGGCCTGCAGCTCGCTTCTCCATACACACTGGTGTGTCTGGAAGATGCCGCCAGGGCCCCACTGCCAAGAAAGGGAACCAAATCAGAAACTTCTGAAATGGAAATGTTCTAAAGGTGGCGAGTCATAATAAAACTCATAGCACTCTTTGTCGGAAAATTCTTAAGCATGTTATATTCTGTTGATGTTTATAATCCAAGGAAAATAGTAATGTTTTATACCGTTTACTGAATGAAAAGGACCATGACATACAGGACTCCAGACGGCTTCCAGCCGGAGGCCAGAGCTGCGCACCCAGCCCGGAGGCAGACTGTAGGCCTCCTCACTCAGCAGGTGCCGCGCCCTCACTGCATCGAGTCTCACTGCCTTTCAGTCTGACATTTCACGGGAGATTTCTTGTTGCTCAAGAAGTGAATTCGCATTTGTTATTGTCAGGGTTTGTTTGTTTTTTTTTAACTAGATTTGTAACTTTTGTAAATACACGTAGCATGTAATATCTTAAAGTGTGTTCCTGTGTGACAACTTTGTAGAAATTTTCCTTTTTTCAAAATACACATTCAAACTTAAAATTACCAATGTGTTTTGAGTTTTTTGTCCTGTTGGTTTTGATGTTGTGCTACTAGTTGGAAATTAAAGTGTTTTTCACCAGAAGCTTGATTTGGAAGAGTCAGAGAGGAAGCCCCAGAACCCCTGCCGAGTGTTTTGAGGTGGTAGCAGTTACTGAACAGGCATAGACAGATCCCCAATGCTTCCCAGGTCCTGGCAGAAGGTACTGGCCCTGAAAGGACCACAATGCCAGGAAGATACTTTGTTTCCAGACATCTCAGGCCTTAAATGTAACCGTGTTTGTGAATTTGAAACTTTTTCCAAGAGGTATATTTTAAATGTGTCTAATGGGAAGAACAGCCTAAGGAGGTAATGCAGCAAGCCCTTGATTTTTTACTGATGGCCTCCCTCTGGGCACTGAGAGTTTGACAGAGGAATTTGCTGTCTTTTTACTTCATATGCTTAGATATAGGAAAGTGGGGTTGTGGGTAGTTGTACATTTCTTCCAGTATTTCCATAAGGAGCATATATTACTTTTAAATCGGAAACAAAATTGTCCTAATCAGGAAAAGGGGACTTCGTTTCTGAGGAATCAAGAGTGGCATGAATGAGTTCTTTAAGCCCTTAAGAAAGCGGTGGTTCTATAAAGTGTTGAGGAAAATCTGGCTTATTCTCGTCTCCTTGCTGTGTAAAGCAGTCGCATACTACAAAGGAAAGGGCCAGCAACCCAAAAGGAAAATGAGCCAGGGACATGAACAGACGGTTCACAGCAAAAGAAAACCCAAATGTCCCTTAAACTCAATAAAGTGCTTGAACTGCATCATAATAGGAGAAATGCACATTAAGGTGTCATCTCTCGTCTATCAGACAGGCAAAAACCCCAGTTTGGGAACATACTCTGTTGGCAAGATGTGGGAAATGGGTACTCTCCCATTGGTGGGAGTGCAATATGGTAAAGTTCCCTGTGGAGGGAATCTGACAATACCTATGAAATTATTTCTTCTGTGAAGTAGCAGTCCCATTTTTCAGAATCCAGCCTACCCATACATCTATGTGTGTACAAAATTATATACGAGCTTTTCATCACAACATTGTTTTGGTGTTAAAAAATGGCAGCAACTCATCTGTGAAGGAGACAGGTTAAATACACTGGAGCTTCCACACGAGAGAAAGTTGGAGCTGGAGGGGAAGGTGAGTTAAAAGATTTGGGGTTTTTAAGTGACAGAGATTTGAGTAGGTTTAATGCTGATGGTGGGGATCCAGTTAAGAGAAAGACAGAAGATACTAGAGGCAAAGGTAACTGACAGTGTAAAGTTCCTAAGAGCCCCAAGCAGTAAATCTGAGCATAGCTGGGGATGGGGTGTGAAGAGGCAAAGAAACTTTTTTTTTTAAATGGGAAAGTATGAGAGAGAGGGTGGGTGTGAATGAACTTAAATTTGTAGTTTCTGTGGCAGGAAGTTCCCTTACTGTAACTTCTACATTTTCTGTGAAGCAGAAAACAAGAACTCTGTTAAAAGTTAGGGAAATGATAGTGAGATCGAGGCGAGAAGAGTAAGGCAGGCTTGAAACAATCATTGTCAGGAGTGGGAGCTGACCAGAAATTAGAAAGTCACTGGGCCATGTGTAGGTGCCCAGTTGAAACCAACAATGAGCAATGTGCAGTGTTCAGGCTGCGCTGCTGTGTGAATCTACCCAGTAACACTTTGGGCTTTTGCCCACATTTATTTTAAAAAGACAGAGGCGGCACAGATTTTGGGGTACTGCAAAATGACTTTCTGAATTGGTGAACTACGGACTCTAAGCTGGGGAGACAGAAACGAAGGGACTAATCGGGAGTAAGACGCGTGATCCATGGCCTGATGGCCCCGAGGGATATGAAGATCCACTGTTGTGGGAGGTGTGGAACATCAGCATGATGTTCAGCATGAACATCAGCATGAATGATGGAGGCTGTGGTCAGAAACAGGCTGTCTGAGTTGGAGGGGCCACAAATTTCATCATGAAAGTGGTGAGACTAAGAAGAATGAAGTGGCATGCAAGAGACCATGGTGGAAATGATGTGGAACTAAGGGTGGGGACGTTGGGTGTGTGCTCTTCTGTATGAACATTGATTTTATGCTAAAATGAGATTCACTATGTGAGACCATAGTAATAAGATAATATAACTTAGTTGTGTTTACAAACTTTTGATTTTATGGATTTGAAAAAAATCCATCATTCATTTTTGCCAGGTAACATTTTTTAAAGTTATCACCCATTATTCATAACAAGAAAGACATTTTAACTCCAACCTCATCATTACTCTCTCAACCCCAAAGTAGGGACATAATCCCAGGTTAAAGGATAATACTTCCAAGGAAAGGCTTATCACACATGCACACGCATACACATTCCTCAGGATCTAACCTTTTACAGTTTGAAATTGCATTTGGGAATCCATTAAAATAACATTGTACTTACCGCTTGAAATGAACTCAAAAAATCTCCCTCCTTGGTGAGACTTGGGCAGTGAGAAGCAGCCATGACTAGAAATGACACTGAGCTGTCCCTTAGAACCCTTTTTACAAAACATGTTTGTTGTGCTCATTATGATGTCATCATCATCAGCAAGATGTCAAAACTTTCCATAGGTAAAATAAATACTCCAATTTAAGTCATTTCTTTCAGATTTGTCTAAATTTTAGTTGATTTTGAGCAAGAAAAAGTGAATGTTCACGTGTGAAAGTCTTTGGGTCCCTTGCATAGACAATAAGAAATAATGGATAACAGATTCAAGTTAAACGTAGTATGCACGTGGGTGTGTGGCTCAGGGATATTTGGATTCCAGTGTGTTAGGCCACTGATCAAGTGATCTTAGCCAAATTACAATTTCTGTTGTCCACATTTGAAGACTCATGCGCTTGCAGCTCTAATATTGTATATAAAAGTAAAAGGCATTTTGAGTGTGTAGAGACTGTTCATAACTTTTTTTTTTTTTTTGACACAGGATCTTGCTGTTGCCCAGGCTAGACTGTAGGGGTGCAATCACAGCTCACTGTAGCCTCAACCTCCCAAACTCAGGTGACCCTCGAACCTTAGCCTCCCGAGTAGCTGGCACTATAGGTGTGTGCTACTACACCCTGCCTTATTTTTTTTAGACAGTTCCCCTTTTGTTGCCCAGACTGGAGTGCAGTGGCACAATCTTGGCTCACTGCAACCTCCACCTCCCAAGCTCAAGCGATTCTCCTGCCTCAGCCTCCTGAGTAGCTGGGACTACAGGCACACACTACCATGCCTGGCTATTTTTTGTATTTTTAGTAGAGGTGGGATTTCACCACATTTGTCAGGCTGGTCTTGAACTCCTGACCTCAGGTGATCCACTCGCCTCAGCCTCCCAAAGTGCTGGGATTACAGGCATGAGCCATCGTGCCCAGCCGCCAATTTTTAAAAAAAATTTTTTGTAGACACGGGATCTCGCTATGCTGCCCAAGCTAGTTTCAAACTCCTAGGCTCAAGGTGTCCTCCTCCTCCTCCCAAAGTGCTAGGATTACAGGTGTGAGCCACCACACGTGGCAACAACTCTTCATTTTGACAGACCATAGTTCTCAAACTTTAGCATATGTCATAGTCATCATGTTTAAAATGACAGTGCCAAGTCTTCATGCTCTGAGATTCTGGTTCTTCACGTTAAAGAGATGCAGAGATCCAGAAATCTTCATGTTGTTAAAGAAAAAAATTGTGCATGACACTTGATAAAGGAGGCCAAAGCAGACATTGTTCAGGGAGACTATCGCCATAGCTGTAGGGAACCCCACAATGGGATTTTGCATTCAGTTGGGGCAAGAAATTAGGCTCCACTCCAAATACAAAAAGGAAACGTGGAAATTTATAGCTGAGGAGTTGGTGGGGGTGGCGGGAGGATCAGAGGAAACTTCAGGGCTATCCGGGGATTCCAGCTAAATCCACTGAAAGGCTGGTTGCCTCACCGGGAATTCGGACACGCCCATCTCCCTCCCCGCTTGAAAATTTACATTATGTCAATCATCTAGCTCCGCCTTGGAAATCCCCTCTGCACTGGCACTTAGCCTGCTCACCGGAAGTCCCACCTCCCTACCAATAGCAGCTCCCGCTGTCCACATCCTGTTTCTCCAAATCCAATCAAACGCCTTCACTCCCTATAAAACCCCACTCCTGAGCGGAATCAGCGCAACCTCCCTGGCCCTTGGCCGCAGACCAGAGAACCTCACCTGGAAGCTAAATAAATTGGAATTGGCATCTAATTTTCTTGTGCTGGCCTCAGTTTCCTCGTTTTTAACTTGGCGATAAACTTTCAGAGAATAAACTTTACATCCACCAAACAGGATTCTTGCTGAAGGCAGGCCAGAGCGATGAGACGTCACCTAGGCGCTGGCGGGGAATGAGGAGCCCAATCAGATATCAAGGCTGGGGCACTGTGGCTAAACTGACTTAACAGGCTTCTGGCTAAAACTGGGCAATGCAAAGATGATCAAGGAAGGCCAGAAGTCACAGCCTGGTTGAGAAGAGAGTTGAGAGGTGCCTGCTTAGAGACAGGCGAGGGAGAGAATATTGGCCCGGGTCTAACAAGCACGTCAGGTGATCCCATCCCGTTGTTCCTAGGACCGCACTTGAAGAAACGCTGTTGATGTCTGTTTCACAGTGCTTTCTGTCTTACCCATGAACCAAGTGAGGAGACAGCATTGGCTGGCAGTTTTTACTATTTCTCTTCAACTCAAGTTTGGACTTTAAAACCTTCATCTGCCTCTCTCTCCTACTTTCAAGGTGTCTGGAATGTTTTCTCAACATCAATAACCAATTCTCTGATTCTCCAGATGCCAACTGGATGTCCTACATTCAATTCTAACACTATCCACCTGGAGGTAGCACAGACCCCACAGGTTAAGGGCTCATCCCCATAAGACCCCCACAACTTCAGACACTATTTGCAAGGCCTGGCCGCGTGCACTTCTGACCCACTAGCTGTAATTCAGGGGTTCCTGCTGTAACTGTAATAGGTCCACTGCCCAAC